GAGTACTCATACTTCTCAATGTTGTCCATAGCTTGTCATGATCCACACAATCGAAAGCCTTTGCATAGTCAATAAAGCACAGGTAAACATATTTCTGGTATTCTCTGGTTTCAGCCAAGATCCATTGGACATCAGCAATGATATCCCTTGTTCCACATCCTCTTCTGAATCCGACTTCTATCTCTGGACGTTCTCTGTCAATGTATGCTTACAGCCATTTCTGTATTACCTTTAGTAAAACTTTACTCGCATGGGATATCAAAGATATGTCCAATAATGTCTGCATTTTGTTGTGTCATCTCTCTTTGGAATGGGCACAAATACAGATCTTTTCCAATTAGTTGGCCAGATAATTAGAGCTTAGGATATATGAAGTATGCATTTGGGAGTAAGGGAAAACCTTTGAAAGTGTTATTGGTGCTGTAGCTTGCCAGGTTTTTGAATACTGGACTAAAAGCATCCTCACCTATTTATAAATCCTAGGATTTACTGGTATCTTATGATATCCTCCCTCGATAGTACAGTTCATGTTCTCTGTTAGGTGGTTCTTATATGTTTTGCTCTCTAACTATTCTATCCAATTCCTGCCAGTCTCTCGTGACACTGAACCAGTTTTGTCTCCTCCATCAAGTTTTTTTTTGTTCTCGCCACTTTCATTTCTAACCTGCTCACCTAGTGCTTGGTGTTGTTTAACCTTTTAGATCTTTTTTCTTCATTCCCTAACTAGATAGGAAACCAATGAAGGTTAACAGTCTAATTCTTTTTATTCTCTACATCAGCAAGCAGAATGATACCTATCTGAATCTTTCCCATATATGAGTTTTCAAAAAGTAGTATGTTTGAGGGGAAATGTGAATCAGCATGTAGTTGTACATATACTTAACATTGTTGTGTACCTTAATATTAGTGTATCCAAGTCTGAAACAAGTAGAAAAGGGGTCTACGTTTCAGTGTGGATTCAGTGTATTTGTTTCAACACATTTCTGAATTTCTTGTTGTCTAAATCTCTGACAGAAGAATCTGAAAGTAGACTTTCTCTAAAGGGTTTTGAAGACTGTGACCTTTTTGAAGCAGGTCACCAGGCCTGTCACCCAGAAGTCTCTGGGTGGGTTCCAACAGTTAAGCTTTCTGCTAGCATTTAAATACTTAACTGTAATTGTTTGTGTCATTCAGGGGTTCCTCATGATCACTTGCTGTTGTTGTTGTTATATGCCATGGAGTCGATTCTGACTCAGAGCGACCCCGTACAGGGTTTCCGAGGCTGTAAATCTTTATGGCAGCAGAAAGCCTCATCTCCTGATCACTTACAGCATATTAAAATGAGGAAGATATAAAACATTTCTGACTAAATCACGTATCTTTGTAACGCTTACCACCAATAATGAAAATACCTAAAGAAAATGCCCTTCTAATGACTTGTTTTGTTGTGCTTGTGGTAGTCGATATGAAGGATGCAACATTCATCCTGGGAGATTCTTCTCCTGGGCGCCTTTTTTCCCATCCCTCTTTCACGCACCCACCTTTCAGTTTTCCTGTGTACCTTTGTTCTGAAGTATTCCTGATGAAATCTTGTTTTTGTCGGCTTATTTTCTAGATGGGAAGTGATGGAATTTTACGCCTCAGTACTTCAGCTCTGAATAATGAATTCTTTGCATATGCAGCACAGGGGTGGAAACAGCGGCTGGCAGAAGGTAAATTTCTATATTCTATTATTGTTTGACATATTTGAGCACAGATACTGGACTGAGCTTTGCACCTTTCTCTGATTTCAAAAATTATTTTTCTTCTGAAGTATACTTTAATGTAGTAAACCCTTAAGTCCTATTCCAAGTGCCTTCATTAGTTCTTTTGTTATACTTGGTGGTTTTGATGTCATGTGGATATAAGTGAAGAACCTAAAATCAAATCAAATCCACTGCCATGGAGTCAGTCCAACTGATAGTGACCCTCTTGTTGTTGTTGTTAAGTGCTGTCGAGTCAGTTCTGACCCATAGCGACCCTGTACAGGGTTTCCGAGGGCGTAAATCTTTACGGGAGTAGAAAGCCTCATCTTTCTCCCGCGGAGCAGCTGGTAGTTTCGAACTGCTGACCTTGCGGTTCACAGCCCGATTCGTAACCACTACGCTACCAGTGACCCTCTAGGATAGAGTATAATTGCTTCTTAGGGTTTCCTAGACTCTAAATCTTTATGGGAGCAGATAGCCTATCTTTTTCCCAAGAAGCCATTAGTGGGTTTGACCCTTTGACCTTGTGCTTAACAAGCCAATTCTTATCCTAACAGTGTCACCAGGGTTCCTTATTTGAAAAGAGAGTGAAATGATCTTGTAGTTAAGAGAAAAAATTGATATAACAAGATTTTCTTTGTAATAGTAATTTACATCACAGTGTGAGATGTATTATGTAACCTCTTAAAGTGTCCTAGAACCTAAGGACATTTCTTTTAAAAATCTCCCTTTCCCCCTAAATAAGTAAATAAATAATCCCTTCATCTTGCCCTGCCTTTAGTCATGAAACATCCTGAAAGACTAAAAAGTAATCCATACTCCCAAAGTTTTGCTCCTAAACTCACTCTGCAGATGGATACAATCTGGAAAGTTCCCAGGATCCAAAATGGAAACATTTCTTTCATTAGAATTCTTTCTAATGGCTGAATCCATTTCCTTCTCAGTCCTTCTGTTCCATATTCCTTCTCCTGTATCATATTAGGTTTTACTCCATCCAACTTGAAACCATCTACCTTAGATTTCAGTTGTTACTGTTGTTGTTAAATGCCATTAAGTCAGTTCTGATTCACAGCTACCCTGTATAGGGTTTCCAAGGCTATAAATCTTTATAGGTGCAGAAAGTCTCATCTCTCTTATACAGAGCGGTTAGTGAGCTTCAACCACCAGGGCTTATCCTACAGAGCCACCCCACTCCCTTACTGTTACATTTCTGACAGCCCTTTCTCAGGAACCTTCTGATGGTAATTGTTGATGTTTCTAGCATTCTTTCTCTGCTGTTTTCTTTTGTAGTAATATGTATTTTCTGAACAATCTCATTCACCAGCGTGTTTTCAGCTATTTCACACATGCCAAGACCTTGGAAATCTGCCTCTAAGCTCCTCTCCTGATTCTCATCACTCCATTTGCAAATGCCTACTGATAACAAGCACATCAAAACCCAAACACACAATATAAAGCTCCCTGTTTTCTCTTTCTATCTACTCTCCTTCTGCACTCTCTCCCTACTGTCCTCACAGATCTTCAGTTTGATATTATTGAGGATTCTCTTCTTTCACCTCAGGTCTAGGTGGTTATGAAGTATTCATTGTGTTGTGACTCTGGCTTCTCTTTCACATCCTACTGCTAACAGCCTGATCGAATTCTCCCATCTCTCACCTATACTAATCATAGACCTCATAGCTGGAATCTTCCGGTTTATTCACTCTGTTGCCAGAATTCTAGGCTGCTTACCCAACAATAATCTTCCTTCATCAAAAGACACAATCACACCCTTCTCTCACCTCCTATAGAAAATTTCAGAACTCTCTTTGGATAACTGGTTTCAGTCTACCTTTCCCATTTTAACTTATCCAACATTCTACTCAACAATTGGCCCCTCCAAAGGACGTGCCGAATAGAGATAAGTTTACAAACTTTACAAAAGGTTTATAATCCTTAAAAAGCTAGTTTAAGAGTCAGCTCCAATATGTGGCCCTCTTAAATCTACTTATGTAGAATTAAGTCTTTTCCATTTATACTTTCATTAGACTTATGCTTGTAACCTATACAGGACCATTGGAGTCCTGGTGTGGCACTGTAGTTTAATGCACTGGACTGCAAAGTCGGTTTGAACCACAAACTCAGCAGCTGTTCTTCAGAAACCTTATGCATATGGGATGCTATGGGTCAGAACCGACTCAACAGAATACAACAACAACATCATACGGGACTATTGGCATTATATTATAAACAACTGTGCAAATGGCTAATCTACTACTCTGCTAACCAAAAGTTCACACAGAGGCACATCAGAAGGAAGGACTGGCATTCCTACCCTTGAAAACCTTATGGAGTATAGTTCTACTGTGACACACATGGTCACCATGAAGTGGAATCGATTCGATGGCAACTGGCTAAGAGCCTTTTCTCCCACCAGAGTAGTTTTCCAGAGGCCAATGAACATAACTTTTTTACTTGCAGCCCTAGCATTCAGTGCCTTTACTAAGTGGTCTAGAGTTCATTGAGAACTAAATGCCTTTGAATGAAGGCTATAAAAAGAGAAACTGTAGAAATATAACCAGCAGTCATCAGATCTTTCTTCAATGTGCATAAAAGTGTGGTCAAATGAATTACATGTTATTCTTTGTTAGCTGTGGAAAAAATGTGACCACCTTTACTCAATATGTTAGTATTTTCTTCCTAGGAGAATTTACCCCAGAAATGCAATTACGAATAAGGCAAGAAATTGAGAAGGAAAAGAAAACAGAACCTTGGAAAGAAAAATTCTTTGAAAGATTTTATGGAGAAAAGTAAGTACTAGAACATTCTTTTCTCATTTCTTTTAGAAGGAAATGAAAATGTAATTCTCTGCTTCACATAGCACACTCATATGCTGTAAAACTTAATAAACCTGTGATAAAAGGCAATAGGCCCTAGGTGTAAGAAATTGCAGGTAAAGTTATAGTGGCATATCAACACTTAAATTTTTTTTTTAAATGTATTTTCAGGGAGCTTTATTACTGTCCATAAAAATTTATTTTGGACTGAAACTAGCACATGAAATCCTATAAAAGTCAATTTTGGTTTTCTTAAGTGGGTTTTAATAAAATTTTCCTGTTTTGTAACCCAGTCATTCTCATTAGTGAATACTTCTGAGATAAGTTATTTTAGGCACACATTTGATCTACTTTTTCACCAAAAAAATGATGACTGTGCATATCCATTTTCATCTACAGTAAGTGTTTGCTTGAGGTATTACTCTTAATTTCACTCACTTTTCTCATCCGTTGTTGTATGCTATAGCATATGATTATAGTTACATTAGTAAAGATGCACATAAGCGTGGTAGTGACGGGATCCACCTGAAAGTACATTTATTTTTGCACCATGGCTAGCAGAGACATCCTTTGCGGAGCGGAGTTAGAGCCTCATAGACAATCCGATTCAAGAAAGAAAGAGTTTTAGTGTTGACTACTGACCTTAACTTTAGATTCTCTTATGTAGTAGAAAAAATGTGTTTTAATATCCACATTACACAATTAATATTTGAGAGCTGTTGTTTTCTGTAAAAGACACTGAAGTAGTTGTAGGTAACAAAACCTGTGCCATTTGATCTAATTTCACAAAACTTCCCCACCAAATGGAAAAACACCTGCTATAAGGAGTCTCACATGAGAGCTCTTAATGAAAAAGAATCAGATGATGAACAGACTGTTTACTCAGAATAGACTCATCCTCGGTGAATCATCCTGCATACAGCTACTCTGGTAGGTAACCTGTCTTTAGTGGCTGTTGGGTCTACGAAGGGGTTTCAAAACATTCCTGAAAAAATGCTGTCATCTTTTAATTAGATTTTTTTCTAATAACTATTTGAAGCCCTACCATATATATGTGTGTGTGTATGGTGGTTCAAGCTCACCAGCTGCTCCTTGGAAACTCTATACAGGGTTGCTATGGGTTGGAATTGTCTCAATGGCACTTAACAACCACAGCAAATTATATGTGTGTGTGTGTGTGTGTGTGTGTGTGTGTGTGTATGTATATACAGGAGCTCTGGTAGTGTAGTGGTTACGAATCGGGCTGTGAACTGCAAGGTCAGTAGTTCGAAACTACCAGCTGTTCCGCAGGAGAAAGATGAGGCTTTCTGCTCCCGTAAAGATTTACAGCCTCAGAAACACTGTACAGGGTCGCTATGAGTCAGAACCAACTCCATGGCACATAACACATAAGTGCCATTGAGTCAGTTCTGACCTATAACGACCCGTATAGGGTTTCCAGGGAGCTGCTGGTGACCTTGAACTGCCAACCTTATGGTTCAAACCAACATTGCAGTTCAGCACATTAACCCACAGTGCCACACCAGAACTCCCATATATATGTTTAAGTGAACCCAAATATAAGAATTCATGTTGTCTTCATATATAAATTACTAGTAGTATTGCCCAAGCCTCCCTATATCAGAATCCTCATTGAAGCTTTTGAAAATAAATACAGATTTCTGAAACCTACCCCACATATACTGATGGACAATTTCCAGGAGGTGAGGTCAGACATGTGCATTTATTGAAGCTTTCCAGGCCCTTCTGATGTGCAGCAGAATTAGGAATCCTCATGGACACTATGTGGAGCACTGCAGAGCATACCATCTCCTTTTGTCAGTGGAAGGGAATGTTGGGAGCACTCTTCTCAGCAATGGCAGAAGCATAATGGGTCGGTTGCTTCCAGAGTATTGGTTCTGAACTTTTGTTTAGTGACAGACCCATTATTTTATTAATTAAGTAATATTTTTCAAACATTTCTGAGACAGATATTATTCTAAATACTATTCTACAGTTTTCTATAGGTCTTCCAAGGCCCTGCCCTCAGGAAGCCTGCATTCTAGGTACCTTACATTACAGAGAACATTCCTTCATTCAACAAGTAATCATTGAATATTCTCTGCCTCTGACTGATTTATAAAATCTTTGGAAATATTATGTAATTTAATCCTTCCACCAATCCTATAAGGTGGATTTTGTAATTACTAAAAAGAATGTTAAGACTGAAATACAGTGACTTGCTCAGTGTTAATTCTGAAAACCCTTCTCAGAAAAATCTGTTTTTCTTTCTATTTCCCTCCCTCTCCTGCCCACACATACACACAGGTTATGTGCACATGTACTCACAAATGCACATATATATATTTCCTTAGCATGGAGCCTGAGGGTTGATGATTGGGAGGGAAAAGGAGGGTATTTCAGTAACTAGAGGGTTTGTTGTTGTTGTTAAGTGCCTTTGAGTAAGTTCCAACTCATAGTGACCTTGCAAGATTTCCAAGGAGCAGTTGGTGTGTTTGATCTGCTTACCTTGTGGTTCACAGTCCACTGCTGATCCTACAGTGCCACACCGGGATCCTAATTAGAGGGTTTCTGTTGTTAAATGCCATTAAGTCGGTTCCACCCCATAGTGACCCTATATAGGGTTTCCAAGGAGTGACTGGTGAGCTTAAAGCACCCACCTTGCAGTTCAAACCAACTTTACAGTCCAGCTTATTAACCCACAGCACCATACCAGGACACCAACTAGAGGACAGGCACATAGTAACTTGGGTAAAGGGGAAAGCAATAATACCATAAAGGGAAGATCAGCACAAGATGATCCAGGCAAAGCAAGACACTGGAAAGAACAGAGTTAAAGGCAACAGAAGTAAATACTATTACATGTACAATCCTGTGGAGACCTGGTTTGGCTCTGTGGGCTACTGTGCTGGACTGCAAAGTTGCTTTGAAATACAAGGTCAGTGGTTGAAGTTCACCAGACGTTCCTTGGAAACCCTATACAGGGTTGCTATGAGTTGAACAGACTCAACAGCATTTAACAACAACAACAATACAAGTCTGCAATACAATAATGACAAAAATCTACAAGTGGATACATAGATACAAGCACAAGATGAATATGTATGGGAAAGTGAATGGGAGTATACCAATGAATATATATAGTTTTGATAGAGGGTATTTCTACATATGTGTGTGTGTGTGTGTGTGTGTGTGTGTGTGTGTGTATACATATATATATATAGAGAGAGAGAGCAAAGTTATGAAAATTTCTTAGCCATAACCAACCCCCTGAGGGAATGAGTCACTGGTCCTGAGAGCTCAGGACCATAATCCTAAGGGAGATCAAGGTCATCTGGTCCAACGTAATCCGTAAAGAAAATGGTTTACGTTTTGCTTTAGTGAGTAGGAACTGGGTCTGAAGAACTTGTGAGTGGCCCCCTAAGGTGCACCTATTGGTCTCTTCCCGTCCGGAGCAAAGAGGAGTAAAAAATATAGAGATGCATGGGAATAATTTGTCCAAAGGGCTAATGGACATGTGAACTCAGCCTCCTCCACAGACTTGAGACCAGAACTAGTTAGTTCTACCGACTGTACCACTTCCGACTGCTCTGAAAGGAATA